AGAAAAATATTTTATTCATAGTAATTGAAACCTTAAAACATGCCATTTAAGAAACAATGATGGAATTTTCATTTTTTTTTTTTTAAATTACGTCCTGGAGATGGCGTACATCCTGTACGAATGCATTCTTGAAATCTGCTGTTGAGATTCCTCATTGACTGCTGCAACATCTCAGCTGGGATACTGTGAATTTCATCTTGAATTCTAAATGGCGAAATGTTTACTTGCTCAAGGTCATTGTCTCGCAGTGTTGCCACTTGCTCATGTCTGGCAATATGCACTTCAAAAATTCCCATTTTTTGGGGTCACCCTATATTAATTCTACTAATGCTCTATCTTTGATATCAAGCACTTTATTGCAAAGACTGCTTGCTTTAAATGTCTTCTTTTAGTATCCCAATGACTGACAGTGTTTTGGGCTTCACACTATCTTTGACATTGCTATTATATATATGTGTGTGTGTGTGTTTGTGTGTATATATGGCTAGGTATGTATAATAATACTAATTGCCACAAGTAATGCATAGGAGAAACATCAAGGAATTTAAATAAAAGATTATATGAACACCAACAGGATCTCTTTACAAAACAATATAACCAATGCGCTGGTTACTCACTGTAATGAGTTAGACCAGAATTTTTATTTAAAAATCCTAAATTATTTAAAAGAGAAATCAATTTACTAAAACAAAAAAGTATAGAAAGTACTTTAATTGTTAGATCAACCACAGTAAATTTACACCTAGGTTCTTACATCATTTCACCTTTCTTGGCAGATATTCTCTTATCACAATGTGAGATATTTAATAAATAATGTGACAAAGACACTCAGAAAGAGAAAAAGAAACTACTGCATTTGATAGCATATAAGTCACACATTTTTCACTAAAAATATCTTTTAAAATTCCCCTGTGTCTTATATGCCATATGTAGGTCTAAAATTTGCAATAGTCAGCCAAAATTAACTACCTAACAACCTCCTATTAGCTTCAACATGAAGGAGCAATAGAACATGTGGATGGCAATATCTGATCAAAACTTTACACTTACAGGAAGAATACAAAAAACCCAGCATTGCAAAAGTCTGTGAATGGGTGAAGCAAGCTTGGGATAATATTAGACCAGAAAGTGTTGTGAAATCTTTTAAAGTGTGGCATTAGCAATGCTCTCAATGGAACAGAAGATGACGCATTATTTAACAACGATGTTAGTAGTATTGAAAATGAGTATCAGTTTTGATAACAAAGATGACGAATTTTATGGATTTGAAGATGAATAAAATTTTAATGGTAACTGTACTGTTTTGCTCAATTGTAATAATTGATTTTTATTTTGTTTTACCTTTGGATATAATAAACTTTTATAGGCTTGTATTCTTTTTTTCCTATTATTTTTCATTTAATTATAGTCATGGCTTGTTTAAACAAAATAATACCTCATAAATATAGCCTAGGCTGTATCTTTTACTAATTTTTTCTTGATTTTTTTTTTCCCTGCTGAAATTGGGATGTGTCATACACCAAATATGGTAAATTAAATCAGTTAGACTATATATATATATATATATATATATATATATATCTATTCAGAGACATATTTTTCAAAAAGATTTAATTTAAAATTTCAGCATTCCCCTCTCCTTTATGAACATGTGTAATCACATACATCAGCATAAATATCACTTTAATTCCCAACCTTTTTTATGTCATTGTTCACTTTCATACGGAAAACTGTCCACCATTTACCTGTATAGTAAATATTGAAAAGCATATGAAAATTGTTGGGTAAAAGTTTATTGGTTCGTAAACGATATGATGTAAAAAAAAAAAAAAAAAATGTCGAAAAAAATGCTGACTTATGAATCGACTGCTGCTACTAATGTATTAAAGAATTAATGAAAGCAAAATTGACTATTTAGTTTTATGTTCAAGGTTAGCATTGCAAGTGCTGACATATAATAAATAAAGCTGACTTCTAGGCCTACTGCTATCACATTAAAGAACAAACAGAAGCAAAATTGACCATAGTTGATTTAATTTACCATATTTGGTAATATAGGAAAATATATATATATATATATATATAAAATGAAATATGTTGTAGTGGTTCGCAGAGAAAAGAGATTTATATTGTTGTCGTATAGGCTGAAAAATAAGAAGAATGTGGATTTTATTTTCAAAAATTATAGTGTTTGAAAGAAAATAATTTTTGGAAATCAGGAGGAATGGTCTGGTCTTTATATTCCACATTTTTCATTTTTAATTATTTTAATAATATTGAAATTGTAATTTTCACTGGAAGAATGTTCCATATTCTTCAGACCAGAAACACTGTTTTCAAATTACGTAAAACAAATTACTATTTTTTTCTCAAACAAATTTATTCTTATAAATTTGTAACGTTTTCAACAAATTATTATCTGTTGATCAGGTGTACATATATATATATAGGAAACTTTTGTGGAGTCATTTTCGTGAAATAAGAATGGAGAGCCGAGTTTCCATTCCAGTTCAGATCCATTACATTGTTTATGTGCTAAAACCTTGGAATAAGATGTGTGAATACTCTTCTCCCTTTAAGCTATGGGTAAATAAAGAAAGACTGGGTTTTATTTAATAGATAGCAACTTTTTTCTAAAAGAAGGACAACTCTGAATTCAAAACATCCGTTTTTTCGTTTGGGGACCTATCCACCTAGTGCACCAGGTCTCTTTTTGCACAAACCCTTCAAAAGTGTGGATGGTCCTGCACGAAACCTTCACCACTATAATCAGATCTCATGTGCTGTTGTCGGGCTGTCAGATTCCTAGGAACTGATCTGCTTGACCCTCATACATCGAATTTGACGGGAGAGTTGAGTAATATATATATATATATATATATATATATAAATAAAATACCCAATCCATAGGTGGTAGTGATTGTTTCAATGAGGTCTTTTTAATATTAAAAGGTTAACTCCATGATGAGAGCTCAATGTATAAATTTATTAAGTCTTTTCTTTATTTTACATATATAACACAGAAGCTCCTCAGAATATTTTGGACCTGACATAAAGCATTTTGTGCTTATGGCACCATCTCCCATAACATAATAGGTCATTACATGGATCTATATGAAGATGACTGCGTTGTTTCTTCACCAATTGTACACCATATTGGATTGTCCTACATTTGTTATCACTTTCATTTGCGTTACTTGAGAATTTTTGCTCTTGATTATGGCTCCCAAGTGTAAGACAGATTTGTGGGTACTTATTTAGATGAGTTTTTACCTTCGTCAAAAATCAGGTTATGTCACGCCATAAAAATAAATCTTCAACTTAAATCAAGGACCCTGTGTGTGTGTGTGTGTGTGTGCGTATGTGTGTAAGAATTAATGGATTTATTTTTTATTCCAATATATTTTTATTACTTTGAGTATTATTTTTGGTGGATACCCAGATTTGAGTAGATGCTCAGTTTTTGTTTTGTTTTTTTATTTTGTTTACTGGTCTGCACACCTTAGAAAATAAACAGTAACTTTTCTCAGGTGTGCAGATTGATTGATGAAATAAATAATGTTTAAAATAAAGGTGATCTACATACTCAAATACAAGCATTCATAATATATATATATATATGTGTACAAAGTTATGGATCCACTTCTTCCCTCCCCCCAGCTATAGATTAATTAGTAGGAATTGTATCAGTAAATCATTATTACCTTTCAATATAAAAATATTTTCTGGCTTTTAAATACTCTGCAATGGGTTGATAAGCCATGAAAACAAATCAAACTGTGGCAAACATGCATCAATACAGACACAAAAGAGGCTCCAGATTATGTCTGTCAAAACCTGTTACATTTGTGTTTTCTCCATTACCAGCAGAACACCTTGGCTTGTTCAGATACAAGCCTCTCTGTAACTTAACTAGATCTGGGTTTCTGTCTTCTGTCAATAAAAGTGATGGGAAAACCAATAGTCTGTTCTGTAGGCATTTTGTTCCTGAAATTGCTGTGCCATATTTTCTGAGACAGTGTCATTTTGGTCCCTCCTATCACTTTCCCTTTTCTGACTATTTTCCCCATACTTCTTGAGAAAGTAAAAACTTGGGTGTTTCCTCTAACCTCAACAAACCCTTGCTGTATTTTACAACACAAAGCTTCTGTAGAACTATATTTCTTTTGTCTGAAGTCTTTTCTTCATGTATGATAAGATTGTCCAGCATTCACTAACATATAGGAGGACTGATATTGCATAACAGTTCAGTATACTTCTTAATGTTATAAAATAAAATAAGACATATCTCGGCTGATTTACAGGTAAATACTCGAGAACGAGAACCAGATGTAAACGGGACAAAACCCGTCACAAAATAACCATTATCTTTCTTTACAAATGTTCCCGACACACGTGTTCCAGTCAAAAAATAAAATAATATTTAAAGTGCTCTATTTTTCGTCCAATAAAAATGCTTCCCTCCTAATTATACTCGCTTCGTTTTTCGATGCTTTGCTTAACTTTTGGAAGGCATCTTTCCAATGGGCCTTTGCATTTTGGTGTTGCATTCTATGTCCTCTGTATATTTCCTAGATAATTAAATTTTTCTACTTACCTGATTTTGGCATCTTCAATTTGTAGTTCATATGTTAGGCTGTTTCTTTTGTTGACAGTAATACATTCTGTCTTTTTTCCAATGAATGTTTAGTTTATTCTTCTTGCTTTGTTTTATTACTTCCTTCAGACTGTTCCTAAAAGATCAATAACTTATCTTCCCACTTGAAGTTCTACAGATCCACTCATCAGGGTCAGATGAATCTATTGAATTGAACAGATATCACATTAAATTTAAATACATTGCATTAAAAAATATATTAATAAATTTAATAGATTTTTTATATTGAACATTGTATTTGCAAAATCTGAATGCTTTGACTGTGTTATCCTCAAGCAATTTATTGGTTAACAGTTTTTGTTATGTTTAAACTTTGTTATTATCTTAATATATATGCATTGGCTTATGGCTATATCACATTGAAACACCAGTTCTCATACAATCACAAGTTAAGCAACATTGAGCCTAGTCAGCACCTAGCTGGGGGGACCACCTGGGAATACCAGGTGCTGTAAGCTTGGATATATAGGTAGTAACAGCTCTAAATTAAAAGTTAGAGGACTGAGTTCCAATTCTACCTGGGTTTCTTATATTCACTTATGTGCAAATAGCCTTGGAAAACGTATGAATACCTCTCTTCTCCCTCCAGCTATGGGTTAATTAGTAGGTATCAGTAAATCATTATTATCTCAGAAAAATTCTGACAATCTAAAAAATATTTTCTGGCTTTAAATTGACTGTTATAAAAAAATCAATTAATAGTGTATATGTCTAAAAATGTGTGTGCATACATATGTTTAGGTACGTATGTATGTATATTTGCATTTCTTTCTCTGTATATGTGTGCAGGCACCAACAGAGAATTATGGTGACTGCCTGGTACTCCACCATTGGTGTTATCCATTAGAGATTCTTGGAATCTAAGCAGAGAATCTCTGCCGAATTCTTCTGCAAGAAACTAGATAAAATGCACATTCAGTTAAACAAAATGCAACTTGCACTGGTTAATCTAATCTTTCTTCTGACAAGGTTGCTAATCACACTATTCACAGCTAAATGTGGTGGGGGATCCAGTTTTGTTGCTGGGCATCTGTCTGAATTATGATTTGCAGCCCCCCCCCACCAAATACATGGGTGGAGTTTAAATTTCAAAGGTATAAAAATTCATTTGCTTCATAAGACAAATTAAAGTTTGTAGATACATTAAAACCTAAAATAAATAAAGAGAAATAGTAAACATTATCTATGTGCCATGTCCCTTCAGACCTTGGGCGGTTAAGGCTCTCCACAATTTCCTATCAATCATAGTTCTTATTAAAGTCTATCTTTGCTATTTCTCCTAATCCCTATTCTGTCAACTATTTATACAACCTCATCAGGTAGTTTATGCACTGTTTTCCTCTGTCTCTCTTGCCTGTGAGTATCAAATTTTCTAAGCCTTCTTTCCATATTACGTGCCCCAGAAATTTCAACTATCTTTTTTTATTGTTAAGTATGTGTCATTTTTGTTTCTATTTTCTCTAAAACATTGTCATTACTTACATGTGCAGTCCATGATAATCTCAGTATTGTTCTGGAGAACCACATTTTTGTTTCTTCAAGTCTCTTCATTGGAGATTGTCCAACATTCATTGACATATAGCAGGACTGATAGTACATAACATCTCTTTTCATTTTTTCTGAAGAACTTTGGAGGAGAAGACATCTTTCATTATCCATAACAACAGGTTGATATAAGTAAAGCTTTAAAATGGTTTGTAATTTGTGCATTACCAAGTTTGTCATTTCAACCAGGGCCATGAAGTGTTTATTGAAGATAAGAAATGGCTAGATTTGAATGATGGCAGCCATTAGCCTCCATAGCCTAACCAGTATAACAGCTTCCATGTTAAGATAAGCTAAGAAAAAACAAATTTGAGTCTTTTTGATTACGTTGTTTACTATAAACAGTTATGATAAAAAGCAATTGAAATTTAAATATATATTTTTTTTACTTTTCTCTTTTAAAAGCTAAAGATATTTTTTTTTTGTTTTTGTAATTTTATTTGAAAGTAAATAAGATTGAATATGCATTTTATAATGTAATTATTTAGGTTACTGCTGTGGAGAAATTTTACATTTTTTTTTTTCAAAGATAACGTTCTGAAAGTTGGAAAAATGATTTTGTCTATTTAGACTAATTTGGCATTACAACATCTTCATAAAAAAAGTTAGAAAGCCAATATTTTTGTGTCTGTTTTTATTTTTTTTACTTAATTTTTATTTTTATTATGATGTCCTTAGTTTTTTTTTTTTTTGCTCTCATTCTTGAGGCAATTGGATTTTTGAAGAAAACCAAGTTCATGTGTTTATTGTCTTTCGTTACTTTGATAAAAAAAAAAAATCAAGTTTGTCATTTCTGGTTGAACTTCACTTTGCTTCATTTTTCTTTGTGGTGTATGGTGGCTGTTAATAATTAAGTATAACTTAAGACTTCAATACTAAGATAAAATAGTATTTAATTACAACCACAAATCAATACTTAACAAGAACAAAGAAGTAAAAGTCAACTAAAGATAATTAACCATTTTAGTGAATACCTTGTTAGTAGTGCAGTTTGGTTTAACACCAGGTAAATCCTAAATCAAATCCCAAATTATTGACGTACAATAATTCACACTAATTTGATTGGATAGTTCCACTCAATAGTCACTCAATAATCACTGCAGTCAGTAGCCTGATACCACTATGTATACACCTGGCGGAAAACATTCATAAGTCCAGAGTGTCACACTCAAACCTTAGTATCGGTAGTTACTAATTTTCTTCCTATATGACACTAAGGCCTCTTCATAGCAATCTCTCTCTATCTCTCACTCTCATATATATCTCAGTCAAAACGAACAAGAAAAATAAGACCAAATGTTTGACATTGAACACTGTATTTTTTAACGTGACGATGTGTGTTTTTATTGATAACAACTTTATGCTATTATCTGTTTGTACCATTGTTCATTATTATTATCCTATTACAGAATACATTTAAATAAAAACATCAGACATGTTTTTAATACCTACAAATAACCAGATTAAAAAATTAATGTCAGTCTATCCAGCTATCTAAATTTTGTGACATACTGTGGCCGTTGATGATTAAGTATGACTCAAGACTACAATGTTAAGATAAAACGGCATTTAATTACAACCGCAAATCAATACTTAACAAGAACAAAGAGGTAAAAGTCCACCAAATTAACCATTTCAGTGAATATCTTTTTAGTAGTGTAGCTCAGTTTAACATCCGGTAAATCCTAAATCAAAACCCAAACATTGACGCAATAATTCACACTAATTCAACTGGATAGTTCCATTTGTTGAATTTGTAAAATTCATCTGCTCCTATAGATAAGAAATAGTCACATGATGTTAGGTTGTCTCTCATTGGTTAATAAAACAATGTGGGTTCAGAAAAATCTGACCACCAGTAGAGAAGGTACCGAACATGCTCTGCGGAAACACAGAAGAGATTTTCTCTGCCACCAATGGTACCAGTTGCTGAGGGTTTTAAGGGTACAAGCTACCTCGCCCTAGTTCATTCACCAGATGGGTAAGTCCACCTAACATATTCTCTATATATAGGAAAGGATATAGTGTTTATATTTTAACCATTGTATTTCATGTAAATAAATATCTTTATTATATTGAAAGTATTCTTCTAATTTGTGTCAGTCCCAAAGTAAAGTGGGGCTAACACAATACACTCAATAGTCACAGCAGTCAGTAGCCTGACACCACTATTTATACACCTGGAGGAAAACATATTTATAAGCCCAGAGTATCAGGCTCAAACCTTGGTGTTGGTAGTTACTCATTTTCTTCCTATATGACAATTTTTTAAATTTTTTTACATTTCTTTCCTTGATCGTTTGTTCCAAAGACAGTTACCAAATATAGCAGATTTCACTCAAATACCAAATGTAATATTATTGTCGTAATGACCAATGTTCATGTTTTGAATATTGCTGCCAAATATGATCTTATTTCGTAACTCGGTATTTGTGAAATATACAAATTTCGGATGACTTAGAATTATAATGAATGAGGTTTTTTTTGTTTTTAATCATTTCACCCCAAGCAAAGAAATAAAGCCACCAAATGCAAGGGATTACTGAGCGTTAGAGAATATGATAAAAACCAATGTTAATCTTAACCTCTTCAAGTTCGGTTCAGACATTATCTATCCTACATATCCTTGTAATATGCACATCTTGATACCTCCTTGTATTTCTTTAATCATTTCACCCCAAGCAAGGCAATAAGGCCACTAAGACACAAGAGGTTACTGAGTGCTAGAGAATATAAGAAAAATTACTATCAAAGAAAGAGAACAATAAAAGAACAAGAATTAAAAAGACAGAAGATAACGATTGACATTGCATTTAAATTTTTGAAGATCAAAATTAACTGGGAATCAAGAAACTACAAGATAGTTCCACAAGTGAGAAGTGCAATAAAAGAAACTTTTATTACAGAACTCTGTTCCATCTAGCCAATTCACCTGTAAATTGATGAGACTTTGATGCCAATCTAGTACCATGCTTAAATTCACAAAGTACCATATGAATTTACAATAACCTCATTTAGTAACCTGCTACCTTGAATGGCACTAGGGCCTTGTATTAGGTTAATAATAGTAAAAAAAAAAATTCCAAAAAATCTAACTCCAACAGTAATAAGGGTTTGTTAACCATTGCTCTTTGGTGAGGCAAATTATTGACCAAGTTCGGCTCAGTCTCATATAAGACAACATCTATATGCCATTCAGTGAGGATCAAACTCACAACAGTGTTAATAGTTTGCAAAATAATCAAGCTAACCATTGTTCCAAGGTGAAAAAATCATGTATTAATATTAATGAAGATTATCTGAGTTTGGGTTTATATTGACAGATTGAAAAAGACAAAGTAGGATGTGAAGCCATAAGCAATACTCAAGATGTTCCCCAAACAAATTATCTGTCTTTATTGATGAGGTCACAGCCATTGACCTTGCAATGGACATCATAACAAATAGTCAGGACCACAAATTATTTTCTGGTTCAAATTTGGCACCCACAGCACTGAACCATAAAAATACAATAAACTCCTTAATCACAAAACTATTGAATAAGATTGACGTTCTGATTAAAAGCAAAAGGATTATTCTCTCTTGGATACCAAACAATGCTGGTATCCAGGGAAATGAAAAGACTAATAACAGCTGCCAAAAAAAGTACTATATACTAACATACCAAAATATCAAGATACCATATACTAACTTAAAACCAACTATCAGTAAACATATTACCAAAAAATGGCAGAAACAATCTAACGAATGCAAGAACAACAACTACACCAACTATTGGAAAATGGCTCCCAGGTTTCTGAAAAATCAGAAAGCATGCATCAGACATGCTCATATCACCCACTCATACCAACTTAAAAATGAAGAACCCCCAATATGTCAGTGAAACATATACTTATAAATTGAAGCAATCC